TCCACTATATCGATAACTTTTGGAATCTGAGAAACCATCTTTTGATGTTTGGTTACCTCCCTGCCCCACACACTAGTGAGAGGTTGGTTGTAAAGCTAGCTCAATGCCTCCAATCATGGAATATTGATAGTAAATTGTCAACAATTACACTTGACAATTGTACTACCAATGATTCAATGATCAACCTAGTTAAAAAAAGGTTGGTTTTGTCTAATCTAATTAGGATGGATCACTTCTCCATATGAGGTGCTCTGCTCACATCCTTAATTTGATTGTGAGGGATGGTCTTGATGTTATGAAAGATGGAATAGATCAAATCAGAGAAAGTGTGGTTTTCTGGACATGCACACCTAGGAGGCTGGAGTCTTTCCATGCTACCGTCCAACAACTTAAACTACATGTTTCTAAGAAATTGGTCTTAGATTGTCCCACTCGCTGGAATTCCACCTACGAGATGCTTTCTAGTGCTATCACGTATAAGGATGTGTTTTCTTTATTGAAAAATAAGAGAACCTCATTATGACTCTCTACCTAACAACGAGCAGTGGGAGTTTGCTACTGTTTTGGTAGACAAATTGATTTTTTCAAGGACATAACGTTGATTTTTTCTGGTTCAAACTACCCAAAAGCGAATCAGTTTTTTCCTAAAGTGTGTAACTTGAGGTTGTGATTGGTAGAATGGTTAAGTGACCCTAATCTGATGATCATTTCTATGGCTGAGAATATGTGGACTAAATTTGCCAAATATTGGGATGGAAATCATTTGTTGTTGGCCGTTGCTGTTGTGTTGGATTCACGTTACAAGTTGGTAATGCGTTACGTATCGCCGTCCAGTCCATGCCCGAACAACTACTGTGTTATATACTGTCGTCTAGTAGTGACCCGACCATCTACCGCGTCTAGTAGTGGCCCAACCGCCCAGGGGTTCATCTTATCATTAACCATACATTACAAACATATAGTCACATACATAGCACAACGCGTGCCTCCACTTTAAGTAGGCGGTTGGATGCTTCACACACATGATCGTGCAAACTCAAATTAATGAACATAACTTGAAATAAAAGGCATAAACTAAAGACCTCGACAGAGATTTTAACCCCTTTACACTCACCTCGAAAAGACGACCCTTCTTTACTGCCGGTGAGTCCACACCATTGTCCAAGATTGCACGGTCAACTTCTTGTTTTACCCCTCCTTTCGCATTTTCTTCTATTACGTATTTAGGCAAAAACTTATTACTCTTATCCACCAACGTTACTAATCAAACGACCTCCAATTTGGTTAATTCCAACCTCAAATTCCTCCATATAACCATACCTAGGATTTCCTATAAAATTCTGGGAAATTATCTTTTTGCCCCCAAAATGACAAATTACATAATGATACCTATAATCACTAAGTTTTACCAAATCGGCCCCAACTTTCAGAATTTACCTATTCTGACTTACAGACAAATTTTCACTTTCTGATTTTGGCAATTTGGTCCAATTCGCTTATTTCGATTTGGTACCCAAACCTTTGCTATTTACGAACTACTCCATGGCCTAGTAAATTGCCCATTGCCGCTCAAACTTCCAAAATTCTACCAACTGATCTAACACACAAAGACTTAACTACCCTTAACTATTCATCAAATTCAATAACACATGTCATTTAGTTCCAACAGTTGAGGAAGTCGATTACTTTCCCTCCGCCGACGTCGCCTTCTCCTTCCAGCTCGTGACCACCGCTGACCCACTCTTTCGCCTCCACCTCCACCTCGGCATCCGAAACTTCCCGCTGACGCCATCATATCCGCCATCCAGTCTCCGGCCTCAATTCGGAGGCCAGCTTCGGACTGCCCAAACTCCCAATCGTCTCGGCGCGATAAGCTCACGGCCTCACCACCGCATCATCTTCCATCCCGCCGCTGTGGGGATCAATTATGTTATGTCTCTCGTGTGCGTGTCGACAAGTTCGACGTCGCCTTTCGATACAGTCGACATCGTCGTGGTTGTAGGGACTCTAAATTCTGTATTTCATTAAGGAATCGTGTTGCTGATTTATACAGGAGAGAAGGATACATGAATGTGCTTAAACGTAGGACAAGGAGAAAGAGTAGGAACAGATGGTTATGCATAACAGAAAGTGGTTTGGCAGTGGAAGAAGTGGCTGAAGACGCGGAGGACTCGGTTTTTGGAACCGCGGAAGCCATAATGCGCCAATTGTCAAACTCCTCCGCCGCCGCGTCCGCCGTAGAGCCCATAGTTTGCTTGAGGTGAACCATCGTGCACGAGACCGAGCCGGCACAGGCGGTGCTCTTCATTGAGGAGAAGGCTGTGGAAGTCGTCGAAGGCTACCGGTTCGAGCTTAGCTTCAAGGCTGCGAACGAAGGGAAGAAAATCCTCGCCAAGTCCGCGAAGACACCTGTCCACCAATTCATCGTCGGAGATGGGGTTGTTGAGGGCGGCCAGGTGGTCAGCAATCTCCTGCGCACGAGTCAGATACTGGGCGCAAGAGTCGGTACCGCGGGAGAGTTCCGTGAGTTGAGTGCGAAGGCCACGAGGATTTGACAATTGTCGGATCCGTAGGCAGAAGTGAGAAGCATCCAGGCATCATGAGGGTGGAGCAGCCCACGAGACGAGGAAGAACGGAGTCGGTGAGAGAGCCCGCGATCCATGAGAAGACAAGCTGATCCCGACGACGCCAGCCGATATATGCAGGATTGGGTTGACCGTCAGGGAGAAGACGAGCTGGAGCAGGAAGGGTGCCATCAACAAATTGAGAGAGATCGAAGTTCGTGAGAAGGGGCAGAATCTGCATTTTCCACATAAGAAAATTCGTAGAGGTGAGTTTGATTGAGATATGAGGGGCTAGAGGAGGGGTGAAGTGAGAGAGAGAGAGAGGCATCAGCGGAGAGGGGGCCGGTGGTGTCATAGGTGGAGGAGACGGTGGTGGACATGGTGAGGAAGAAGAACAAGAGATGAGATAGGGGAAGAGGGAGAAAGAAAATTTAATTCGCCGTTAGGCTGGGAAGCTCTGATACCATGTAGGGACTCTAAATTCTGTATTTCATTAAGGAATCGTGTTGCTGATTTATACAGGAGAGAAGGATACATGAATGTGCTTAAACATAGGACAAGGAGAAAGAGTAGGAACAGATAGTTATGCATAACAGAAAGTGGTTTGGCAGTGGAAGAAGTGGCTGAAGACGCGGAGGACTCGGTCTTCCTTATCAGTGGTTTCGAACTCCCTTCCACGACCTCGGGACCCCAACCTTCCTCCTCTTCTCCGTAATTGCGTCAGCCTTTTCATTGAAAGGTCTGCGTTCAGATCGTCGGGACCGCCACCAGACCCCTCTCCTACTCTTCAATTCATGCTAATGCTATGTTATGCTTTCTCCCCAACTCCTCTACCAAATCATTCTATTCGCCTCCCTCCCTTCTAACCTTTCTTGCGTCCCTTTGTATTGGGGAAAAGTCAATCCACTCGTCCTCCAATAACATACATTAATCATCAATCAAAACCCCGTGTTAATTGCTCGCGTTTTCCCGGTGGCTTCCTGCTGCCGTTCCGGCTCCGATTTAATTTCTCGGTTGAGTTACCCAGAGGTAGGGGTGTTCAAACGGTTTGGTTACCGTGTTAACCGGTACTATTTGGATAATTTGGTTTGGTTAATTTTGATAATTGGTTTGGTTTGGTTAAATTTTTTAGCTTGTTTGGTTTAGGTGGTTTGGTTTGGTTTCAGACACTCCTAACCAGTCAAAACAAATTAACCAGTTAATTAATTAGTCATATATCTAACATATATTATATACACATACTTAATACTTTGCATAACAACTCAAGAGTTAAAGTTCATCCCTTTTAGACTCATATAAAATATAAAGCTCAATATTGCTCATATAGTGTATATTTGTATATATAAAATGTAGACCACAATATATGGACGCCTAATTTAGATAAATTTCATACATTATGATGGATGAAAACTTGAAAGGAAGGTCATTTCCAACCTATGACAATTGCTAAGAGACTAAGCAATTTACACAAACACAACAATTCATTAACCCATACCATTGTCATAAATTTTTGTTAGGTGAATACTTCTATACTAATCGTAAGATAATCGTCTTAGTTGCAAGTATTTTTGTTAAGGGTCAACTATAACTACGTGTTGATTGTTATGTTTTATTCATTATATAAATTGCGAATTGTTGCATTAACTTGAAAATTTTCATCATCAATGATAATGTGATTTTATATCGGTTAATCTGATTAACCAATTAATCAAACCGATTAAACTTTAGTTTGGTTAATTTGGTTGTTGTATTAGTTTGGACGGTTTGGTTATGATATTGTATTCCATAGTTAATAGAATTTAGCCTTATTTGATTTGGTTATAACCATGGTCACCATTTGAACACCCCTACCAGAGGAGAGGAGACGACTCCTCTTTTCCCAATCAGGTCCCCATGCTCGCTCTTCCTCTCTCTATGTATGCCGGCCACCAACCCGCTTCGTCCGCTTGGGCGCAAAGCCTGTTTCTTTCTTCCTTTCTCTTCCATCCTGGACTTGAGCCCGCTTCCTTTTTCCGCCTCAGCAACCCAGGAGGCAGGCCCTCCTTCCTTTCCGTCTCTCTTTTTTTTTTTTTCTTCTTTCTTTCTTTCTTTCTTTCCTATAAACCGTCCCACCAAACACAATAACCAATCCTGCCACCAATAACCCGACCAAATTGGCAAATCCAAATCGGCCTTCTTTGATTGAGTGTTGATCCAAAATTCTATTTACATATGTAACTTTCTCATTTTACGTCAGAACTCATCCACGTTTAAATCGATAAGTTCACATTTTTAGTCCTTGTCAATGTCACGAGGGAATTGGCCAATTTGAAGAAGGCCATAATGGTCATTTTGACTTTTGGAAAGAGCGGGGTGTAACAATATGTTTATAGGGGACGACTAATCAAGTCAATGGATGGATACATCTTTACTAATTTTTAAAAAATTTCAACTTTTACAATAGGTCCTAGATTATTGCCCTCGACGCGGGTTTGTACTTTGTCGGTTAAGGTAAAAGCCCCAGTAGCTGCGAGGTATAACTAGGTAATGCAAAATAGAAACATATAATAATAGTAAGGGTTAATACCACTAAAAATATCAACTTTTAGCAAATTTGTCAATTGTATTACAAAACTTCAATAATTAAAGTAATATTCCAGACTACAAGGAGCCTGCCTCAATTGTATTGCGCGAAATTCAGTTGACTGTTAGATTTAACTGTTGACTTAACGGCGGCCAACGTTCGTTTGACTATTGATGAAGTGTCGCTTATGTGTCATCCACATATGCGCAATATAGGAAATTTCAAATTTAATTTTTTAATAAATAAATAATAATAAATGATATACAATTTATATATTCACATAATATTTTTACAGCTCTCAGGCTTTACCCATTCCCCAATTTGACCTTTATCTTCCTTCACTCTCAGTTTGAAACAACTAAATTAGTCAAAATCGGGATTTTACCTAAAATTGAAAACTAGAGTAAATCGGAATCGTAGAATCGTAAGATTTTAAGTACCATATAAAAATTAGCATATAATAATATTATTAAGGTAAATCATTTATGACACAAAGACATATAACATTTAAAGTGATAATTTTCAAGATTAATGTTCCAAAATTATCATTTTAATTGTTATTTAATGCGTAACTCAAAATAATTTACGAGGAAGGGATAGAGCTCATGGAGTTTGGCTCTTGTTTTTCATGTTGTATCTAGGTAGTTTAACTCAAACTAGTATTCCGGCATCGTCTACTAAGCATGATTTAAAACTAATAATAAGGGAACTCTAATAAAATAATTAATGTCATTGTTTTGGTACAAATATATTCAATAATCAATTAATTTGTTAATAATGATTTAATTCTTACGTACCTACAATATTATGACAACTGTTTTACCGATGAGTTAAACAAGGGGAAGGGAAAGGGGTTAACCGAACCCTAATTAGGTTAATTTTTATCTTTTCAAATGTTCTTTTAATAGGAAAAATATTTTTGAAGATCCCCTTCATTTCCTTTTCACCGAAACAGTTCTGCTTCTTTTGAATTGGCTCAAACTGCCTATTTTGTTCACATAGGATCAAAATCTCGATTTTGTTACGATTTTAATCCCGATTTTGAACGATTTTAAGGTCCACCGATTTTATAGTAAAATCAGGATTAGAATCTCTAAGTAAAATCCTACGATTTTACGATCAAAATCCTGATTTTGACTGCATTGGTAACAACGACAAGAACAGGATGAAGTTTTGGAAGGCGACAGCAAAAATATCAAAGGCGTCGAAGGTGGATCTTTGCAAGAAAAGAAGCATGATATCACCACCAAAATCCTCGATTTCATCTCCACCTGACGTCAAAGTTATTACGGGTAAATAGCTAGTTTGGTTACTGGAATTGCTAAAAAGTGTCACGTTTGCCACTAAAATTAGTTTATTCCATTCATGGTCAATACAATTAGTTCAACAGTTCAAGTTTGATCACTCTCCGTTAATCTCCGTTAACTTTATCTGACGTGGCAGTCAACTCTGAGAGTTGACTGTTAGATAAATGACATGGCAATTAAAAAATAATAAAAATAATAAATTTAATCTTTTTAATTTCAACCTCATATTTATAAGTTACAATAAACTAAAATAAATAAAATAGAAAAAATAATTACCATTTCCCACCCGCTCGGCTTGACTGCCACTGTCCTCGCCCAAACCCTCCAACCAATGCAATTCCCCACCCCTCCCTCGAGCTATCTCTCAAACACCCCGCCGTCGTCGTCATCGCTCCCTTCCGCCACCACCGCATAAGTCTCACTGGAGCACCAATATAGTCGTCGCAGGGTTCGCTAGGCTCCAGCTCCATGCGTACTCATGGAACGACAGGCTGAGCACCAGCTTCTCGGGGGGAAACTTTCCCGACAGAAACCCATGCCTCGATGCCAGATCCAATGTTGGATAAGAAATCGTGGTCCTTCAACGGAGCGTCGGGCTCCATGACTTTCGACGATTCGAGATTCTGCGCCATGATATGAACCCAATCCATGTGGTTCCTTATTGACCCCACCGGAAAATTCCTCACATTCGGATCCGGCGCGTACCCGAACGTCGCTGTCAGCAGTAGATTCTTTTCCCCGGCCGTCATGACTTCGGACTCGACTTGGGCTCGCCACTCCTTGAACAGAGTATCGATGCCGGCGAGATCGAAGGAGGATTGGCCCAACCAGGATAAATCCATCCCCTTAAAACCCAAGCCTTCTAGCGGTTTGTATTGTGGACTGAATATAAGCTTTGCGAAGGGTGGATTGGTGACCATGGATGAGAAATCGGTGTCGTTTGCATCCCCGACGCCGATCGAGTAAAGGGTCGTGACGAATGGGTTCTGTCGGCGAGCGGTGGCAGTGAAGTTGGCGAAATATGGCTCGTCGGAAGGGTTTATATATTAAGATGCGGTGGGTGGATGAATTGATGGTGGCGTAACCACAAATGAGGTGAGTGTAAAAAGTGGAGTTATAGCTTCTAGGGAATCGGTGTTTGGAGACGACCCAATAGCCTCCTATATGGATATCATGAAGCTCCACCCGCCTAATTCGACGATGGTGGCGGCGGAGTGTTTGAGAAAAGGGATTATTTTTTTATTTTATTTATTTTAGTCTATTGTAATTTATAAATATGAGGTGGAAATTAAAAATATTAAATTTTTTATTTTTTAATTGCCACGTCATTTATTTAACGGTCAACTCTCAGAGTTGACTGCCATGTCAGATAAAGTTAAAGGAGACTAACAGAGAGTGACCAAACTTGAACTGTTGAACTAATTGTAATGACCATAAATGGAATAAACTAATTTTAATGGCAAACATGAAACTTTTTAGTAATTCCAGTAACCAAACTTGCAATTTACCCAAGTTATTACTATTGAGGTGTATTTTTCCTTAAAAAACTTGTAGAAACGGAATCGTTAAATTCTGATAATTATTGGAGAAATTCACATTGTAACTCGACAGATAAATGTTGTCGTAATATTTTTCCTTAAAAAACTTGTAGAAACGGAATCGTTAAATTCTGATAATTATTGGAGAAATTTGCATTGTAACTCGACAGATAAATGTTGTCGTAAAAGGCAGGATGGCATTGAGTTGTGATTTATCTAGGGGTTTTCAAATGGTTATTTTGGTAATAACCAAACCAATTAAGTCTAAATTTCATTAACCATGGAATAAAATGTCTTAACCAAACTGTCCAAATTAACACGAAAACCAAATTAACCAAACCAAAATTTAATTGGTTTTGTTAATCGGATAATCTGATTAACCAAATAACATAACATTACATGAAAACAATTATCTTGTTAATGAATAAAACATAACCACATGTTGTTACTATTATAAACTATCATTATATATAAGCAATAATAATGAGACTAACCATCCATAATTATCATCATTCGAGTTAATACATCATTCATCATCTCTGCAACTAATATAGTTAGCTTACAACAAACCCTTAACATAAATATTAAATACATACCAATACCATTCATAGTTTGAGGTGGCTGTCATGGTATTGTACGTAATCCTAAAGTATAATAGCTGTCCAAAATGTTTTGGTTTAATAAATAGGCAGATCCATAATGTTTTGGTTTGTTGTGCACGTGGAAATAAAATAGTGAATCACGAAAGTTTGGTTTGGTTGGTTGCATGGAAGTATAAATAATTTTGTATATTAGATGTATAATTAATTGGTTAATTGGTTTCATTGGGTAGCGGTGTTGAAACCGAACCAAACCACCTGAACCAAATAAGCTAATTTTTTAACCAAACCAAACCAATTATCCAAATTAACCAAACCAAATTAACCGAATGCTACCGATTAATATGGTTACCAAGATAACCAATCCGTTTGAACAACCCTAGATTTATCCGAGCTTTCCTTTTTCTTTATATTGAGTAGAGTTTCTTTCTTCTAAGTAGACTAGCACTTGAACCGGCAAGTTTGGCTGAAAACCTAATAATTATATATTTGAGTATTTCATATGTATTGTAGATGCATATAATGTGCGTTGAAAACTTAGTAATTATGTGTTTGAGTATTTCATGAGGAATTTTACAATCTTCTACAGAATTGGTGCTATAGGTTTTTACTTTCACGGTACAACTTGAAGTTGTACCTTTAATATTATGGTACAACTTCAGATTGTACATATACTCTTTTGTACAAAATTTATTTTGTACAACTTGTACTTGTACCTTTATTTGATGGTACACCTTGAAGATGTAAATTTGTATCATAACATAAGGTTACAAATTCCTTTATTGTACAACATGAACTTACACATTTAACATTATGGTACAACTTCAAATTGTACATTAAACCACCAATACTTTATAGCATAGTAGAATATTTCGTATTTCATATGTATTGTAGATGCATATATATGATGTGTTGAACTGTTGTTATGCACCCTATCTTAAGCGCCTTCCTCTTCCTCCCTCAATCTTCTACAGGATAAATATTGCCACCATCGACGACTCCAATGCCAGGCACGGAACTCCCGTCCACCAACCTTGACGTCGAAAATCCGGCGGCGATAGAACCTCCCCAAGCGCCGCTATTTTCTGCAGCGTTATCGTCTTCCTCTAATTAGGCGCTGGCGCCCACTCCGTCACAACTGTCGAGTCCTCACCGTCTGAGTCCTTCTCCCCTTCCCCACAGCCCGTAGTTGCCGTCTTCCTCTAATCCGGTGCTGGCGTCCTTAATGGTAAGTATACCTAAACTTGAAGCCTCGCTAGATCTACCAATCTTTTATATCTTTAAGATCCATCTACAATGAGCTCTATTTTGATTGTAGATTCATTTGGATCTCTATATTTGAAAACTACTCTGCCCAAATCCATCAAAATAAGCAATATACTCTAGATCCCCAATCGCACCTCTTGTACCTTCATAATTGCACTCCCAGGAACAATCTCTGCCCGGTGGCAGCTTGTGGTGAAGGGACGAATACTTGGGGTTTAGAGGGGAGGCTCTCAGACGTGTATAGAGGCTTTTAGTTTTACAGCGATTATGATACTGATGTAAGATTTTTTGCTCTCCGGGGACAATAAAAGTTTATGTTGCTCAGATTAGGACAGAAACAACTGAAGGGCGCCGACGAGATTGTCACACATGAGACCCTGCTACCCAGATCTAGAGAGAATCTGCTAAAATTTGTGAGGGCGAGCTCCGATTTGAGGTTGGTTTGGTGTTTTATCTAAACTGAGATCCATAATTTCCTGGAAGATTCATTTCGGTCGGGACTGCCTATATTGTCGCGGTGGTTTCATTGAAGGGAGCATGAACAAGAGAAGGCAAATCTCACTCAACGCCATATAGTCACATTTCTGAATCAATTTTTTGTATACAATTAATCAATTCAACAAAGCAATACAAAGCACATTTATTAGCCTCTAAAAGTTAATTTCACAAGCAAAACTATTTGCCTTCACAAATTGTATTAGAGGCAAATTTAATAGCATCTTTAACAAAGTTCAGAAACAAAAATATATGCCTCTGTAGATAATATTGGAGGCAAGTTTAATAGCTGCTAAAGATCTTTTTAGAGGCAAATAATATTGGATATAAAGGAAAAATAAAAGTGGCATTAGCGGCTAAAATATTAGTCACAAATTCCTGAATGAGCAACAAATAATATATGTCGCTATATTTGCCTCTATAGGACTATAGCCACTAGAATATTTGAAGCAAATGTATAATCTGCCTCTAAATATATACAGAGGCAGATGATAGACTTATAGAGGCAAATTCTCTTAGCCGCTATATATGGGTTTTGTTGTAGTGTTACTGCTGCAATCAACTTTCGAGAAGATGGGCAAAAAGATTTTATTGGTTAAGAAAACTTTCCCAAATGTGTAGTAATTAAGTAATCAGTTGTAGTATAAAATAAAGGGCAGAGGAAGCTTGCATTGAGTGTGGCTAAGGATTGTTAGAAACCGAACAAAAAATTTAGGGTTACCGATCTGGCTGAGTCGCGGACTAGGTCGCTCTCTTTAAGACGTTCGCGACACTGCCTAGTTATTCGCACAGCAGACTATCAGCCGGTCGCTTCCAGGATAAAACAGCCACTCTTTTGATTTGCTCAGCGGTTTTGTGCGGAAAACCGGAGCTCTTTGAATCTCACTCTCTCTCGTGTTTCTGCTCTCTTAGGTGTGTTTAGAGGGTCTGGGGCGTCTCCTATTTATAGGAGCAGAATACCCAGAATATTCCCTCTTTCTTTGGGAATAAGTCATATTTTAATTAGGGAGATAATTACTCCCATAATTAAAATATAATCTATTAAGATAATTATTCCTAATTATCTCCATAATATTCCTTTTATTAATTATCCATCTTATTTCCGTATCTAGAAAGAATACTGGATAATTAATTCAATATAGCTTTCAAAGCTATTCATTCCCAACAATCCCCCACTTGAATAGTTTTGAAACTATCTCTGAGCATCAACAGATCCATAAGATCGGGCATAAACTAAGGTATCGCGAAGATTTGAACCTTAGTGTAGTGGTTACACTTCCGATTTCATAAGGGTGACTCGTAGTCTTGAACCCTATCTCAGACAATGTAGCACACTGGATCTTTTCATTGAGTGATATTCTCTCATAGGCCGTGCGTTTATGGCCATGCACGTTATCCCAGTTTAGTGAACGCTCTAGCAACTTTGTGCCTCCAAAGTTCCATAGGGAGCGGCCCCACTCCCACATTCACATAGGTGAGTCTATCAGAAGTACCCCCAAAGTAAAGTACTTCACTCCACATAGAGTATAGATCTCATTAAGAGTTTAACTCAACCTCCAAGCCTTTGGGATTCATGCTTCACTATGCATGAACTTTTCGCATACTACTCATGACTTGTTATTACCCATTGAACCCATTTCTTGGGATCTCCAGTCTATTGGGTCGGGTTACCATCACTTGTAGTCCGTGGTTCGGTAGGCATAAGTCTCATACCCTTGACAGTACTTTGGACTTTCTCTCTAGATAATCCTTTCGTCAAAGGATCAGCTAGATTCTGTTAGGATCTCACATGATCCACCCTCATTGCTCCTATCGTTAGGAGTTCTCTTACAGTACTGTGCTTACGACGAATTTGTCATCTCTTTTCGTTCTAGAACCGGTTCCCTTTTTTAGTAATAGTTGCAGTGCTATCACAATGAATCAACTACCGGAGGGATCGGTCTTTCCCATAAGGGAATCTCTAGTAGTGACCCTCTCAATCAACTTTCCTCTTTACTAACCATTGCTAGTTCTATCATTTCTGATTTTTTAGTTGATTGAGCCAGGATCGTTTACTTCTTAGACTTCCAAGACATAGCTTCTCTATCGATGTTTAAAACATAGACTCTTGTTGTCTTGGAGTCCTCTATAGGGTATTCTAATCCGCATCACACTACAGTAAAACCTTTGATAACAAATACAAGGTTTTTCTGTTCTTTTAAGGTGTCTCATGACCCGTTTCAATAGCATTTCAATGCTTCATACTAGGACAATCAATAATCCTGCCAAGTACCCCCACTATGTCGGGTCTCATGTTTACCAGCTGCCTCACGCAGACTGTCGATGCTAGTATATTCTAACTTTCTCAGTTTCTCACACTGTTTCCAGTGTTCTTTAATATTTGCACTAGCATCATCAACCATTTATGCAGGCATACTGCTTGTATTTCTTCTAGATCTTAACTATGTAGTTAAACTGATCTATGGGGGAATCTATTCATTTTCATAGTTACATGGATCTCCTAGCTTACATAAGCTTCATCGACAACATTCAAAATTCTCAAACATGGTTTTTTCATATCGACATCACCATCTTTGTACCAAAGATCGACGTGTTATTCATAATGCAAGTGTCATTCTCAAATTTGTACTAAATGCACTTGTCACTTTCACTTTTAAAACCATGAGAGAGAACCAGTTTATTCATGCCATCGTCTTAGCGTCTATTTCAAATCTTACAATGATTTGTCTAACTATAGACTCCCTAAGCATGTTCAGGAATAATAACCTTATAGGTTGTCCCATGTAGATTTCTCTATCTAAATCACCATTCACAAAATTAAGTTTAACATCCATCTGATGCACAACAAGAGCAATCAGAACATACATGAATGTTATTCTACTTATGGTGAATAGATAACAAGAGAATTTACAATTTTTCCTTTCCGCCTAAAGCCTTAGCTATTGGGCGATCCTTATACTCATAAACTAAACCAATAGGTTTCACTTTTCTTTTAAGAATCCATTTATTACTCATGACTTCATTGCCAAGAGGTAATTCTCAAAGATGCCAAATCTTGTTCGATTCTAGCGATATATTACCCAAGGCTTTTCAACCAAGAGATAACTCTACAAGATTTTAAGTCTTATTAGACTCCAATAATTCCATTTAGTTAATAATGGACTCTCCCACAATTCTGCATCTTTATGGAAGTTCAAACTTCTAGCAGACTTGTAGGATCTTTCTTTCTTTCTTAGGGTGTAAATAACAAATTCATAACCAAAATCCTTTCGTGATTTATGGTTCATTTGTCTCTTCTGAGTTCATACTCAGATTCATCACCCCCACTAGTTATCCATTATTTCTAATAGTAGGCAGAACATCACCCCCACTATTTCTTAATATAAATGGAATCTATTGGCATCAATGGATTTCACAACCTAATGAGTATTTCGTTTCATCAACTTATGTGTTTTACAAAAACTTACACACTCATATGCTCTTCTAGTAATCATGTTACACTGATTCTCTAACGCTACCACATGCATGCCACATCTCGAATAATCAGTGCAATCATAATGCAATTATGCATTTCAAACCATTTCAAATAACTAGTCAGACAGTCAGAGCACTCTAAAGAGAAACAAATTATTTATTGTCTTTTACATCAAGTTTACCAATATCAACATAAATCAGATTTATTGATTCTGATTCTCTAATCACATATTTATGGGTCATTTCATATTTTTCTCAAGCATCCAATAATAATATGCGAATGCGATATAAGATATTCTAATTCTTCACACAGACACACTTGGAAGAATTTATCTTATCTACTTAACCATTCCTTATGTCTAGGAAAGTCAATGACTTTCTAGAGGTAGGGTTCTCTTCCACTTTCCCAGAACCAAAAACAATAGTGGTGAGGGTCTTTCCCAACAACACTTTCTCCTTCAATACGCCTCAATGCATGATTGAGCTTAGCTACTTTATCAGATGCAAGCCTTGAGGCGTCGTATATCCAACCACCATTTTTCAGAATTGTCATTAAGGCCTATCACTCCATTAGTGATTATTACCACCAAATCCTCTTATTTAGTCAAGTTAACACTAGGTTAAACTTGTTCTTACACTTTCGTGTCTTATGACCTAGTTTCTCACAAATTTAATAGAGAAACATAGCGTCATTCTTAGAGGATTGGGTGGCAATCTTATGGTTACCACAAAGGGTACCATTCTATTTGGTATGGATCTGGTTCGGCTTGCTGCTCTCATTCTTGAAACTTTAATGTCTCAGAGCAGCCTAAGTGGTTCGTGTAGTACTAATAATAGTAATTCTTAAAATATCGTTATTATGGGCAATAAACCCATTCTATTCCCATATATTCTTCATATATATGCACGCATTCAAACAAAATCATTCTATTCCACAACATGTATTCTATCTATACTCTAATCATCGAGGTAATACATCTCAATGTCCACATATACATGCATCAATTTTATTTTACTTTCTCGCATTAATATGAATTTCTCAATACCATGCATAGAACTCAAGTGAAATAGATTCTAGTTTATCATTCATCATAATGATTAATAAAGAAGGTTCTGAATCTTACCTCTTTTCGATGAGTCGATGCATTCTCAATTTGCACGAATATCTAGCACCACATCTAGCCTCTCAATTTCCAAACATTTTTTTTTCTTTTCACAGCTTCCACCAACCGGAGAAGTAGAAGGTGCCCGTTCCAGCACTTTAGAGGAGCCGACACCCACGACCTGGATCCACCACTCTGACTCTACGTCACCGGGGTGGTTTTTTCCATCGTTCCTCTCGGCGGGCCCAAATTAAGAAGATCAATCAATTCTTTCAATTATAGCCAATGGAAGGACGGATTTAGCCTGGCCCATATTACGTCTAGTCCTTCTTCATCGTTCTTGGACTCCATCGGCTCCGAAAGCAGCCGCGACACGAAGCGGCGACAAAGCCGAGATCTGACTTCCATTCACCTCTAGAAAAGAAACCCAAAAGAACAAAAAAAACCTCTTTTTCCTTTGATTCCACATTCCCCATCGCAAACATAAAAGTTCCCTCATGCTGAGTGGGACTTACGGACAAAAGGTGTTAATTATTTAGGGACAATTAATTAACTAAAGCAATCCGTAATAATCAACTTAGCTCCCAAACGCAAACGGAACTCATACATGTTCCTTCTTTATCTAGGTTACCGTGACTGCAAATCGGTGAAGGAAACAATAATTGCAATTGGGGAAATTGCTCCCATTATTAATAGGCAGATGTTTGTCGAGATGCAAATCTGGTTCACGATCAGGCCACGGGCAGTCGGAATGGAAAAATCCGACGAGTAAAGCAACCATGAACTCCATAATCGGTAGTAACCGGTTTGAGCGAACCGGACATCCTGTTCAGTAGAAACGACAGCAACCGAACGTCTTAAAATTGTTAGAAACCGAACAGAAAATTTAGGATTACCGATCTGGCTGAGTCGCGGACTAGATCGCTCTCTTTAAGACGTTCGCGGCACTGCCTAGTTATTCGCACAGCAGACTATCAGCCGGTCGCCTCCAGGATAAAACAGCCACTCTTTTGATTTGCTCAGTGGTTTTGTGCGGAAAACCGGAGCTCTTTGAATCTCACTCTCTCTCGTGTTTCTGCTCTCTTAGGTGTGTTTAGAGGGTCTGGGGCGTCTCCTATTTATAGGAGCAGAAAACCCAGAATATTCCCTCTTTCTTTGGGAATAAGTCATATTTTAATTAGGGAGATAATTACTCCCATAATTAAAATATAATCTATTAAGATAATTATTCCTAATTATCTCCATAATATTCCTTTTATTAATTATCCATCTTATTTCCGTATCTAGAAAGAATACTGGATAATTAATTCAATATAGCTTTCAAAGCTATTCATTCCCAACAAGGATGCACTTGAGTAGACTTCCAATAAAAGTGGAGTAGGATGATAGCAAATGAAGATGGAAACTTAACAAGCATTGCCATTAAAATATGAATCAAGGTAAATATAGTCATACATAAATGCACAGTAAGCAACAACTTATTTCCACAACAATGATAACCTCCTATTAAACATTTCACAAATCATCAGAAAGTAACCGAAAGCTAAAGGAATTTCAATCTTGGTGGTTACCATTGTAAAAGAAACTAACGGTGCCGCCAGAAACAACTGCACACGTGTGAAATTTGGGGATGAAACAATGAGATTCCAATAGGTGGAGAACAGTCAAAGAATCAATCCCAACTGCTAGATCCAAACTTACCACCAGCCAGAGCTGCTGCGCAAGGATCTTCCAGTTTTGATTGTCGAGTTTGATCATGCCGTCGCTTTCAACGTATCACTTAACCATGGAGTTCTTCTTTGACATGAGGCCAATTCAGCTCCCACTTTCGATTCTGAGTCCGATGCACAAGTGGATGCTAGTAGTGCAGTCAAAATCGTGCATTACGTATCCAGACCACCAAAACGTTTCAGTTTCTACTTAAAGTCGCTTAGTCACAAAAACTGGCCAAAACTGGGTAAAATCGCTTAAAATCGGTAAAATCACGTTCCTAAAGCGTTTTTATACGATTTTGTTCATCTCATAAAAATGTGCTAATTGCCCCAAAATGATGTAATTTTGAAGACATATCAGCAAAAAAAAAAAAAAAAAAAAAGGAAAACATGATTCATCACTCGTTCTACAACTAGTGTCGAGATAGGGGCTTCACATTAGGTTGAAAAGACACCTAATGGTATTCTCAACAGCCGCTGACCTTCTATCAGTCTTCTCCCTTAATCTTCACCTGTGGCTCTTATCTGGGTTACGATAAAAGTTTATGGGTAATTGATCGTATGTAATTATGTAAAATTAAACCAGCTTATGAGAATTTGGATTCTCAAGCTCGTTTACGGGTTACGATCTACGTTTATGAGCTTATTATTAAGATGTTATGAGTTTTCTCTACTTTTGAGTCACCACTAAACATTTAAATTATGAATTTCATGTAGTTATTCACTCATCTAAAATCTGCACACTCACATTTTACATACTATATGTTGTACTTGACATATTTTAGCTATTTTAGAGGGTGCGTCAAAAACTTACGCTTTTACGCTTTGATTCTATATTTTACGATTTTATCCATTTTCCGCTTCTATGTAGAATCGCGCTTTTAACTGCATTAGATGCCGGAAATGTCAAAATCCTAGAGTTCTTCCAATTGACGCCAATTGAGCTTCCTCTCCTGATCCCAAATCCGATGGTTTGGCGGGCTCTGAAGAGGAGGAAGGGTCGGTGAAGGATTAGATGAACCTAGGGCGGAACTGTGGAAGTAGCAGTAACCGCTTTGAAGAACGGTCGAAGAAACTAACCCAATAAACGCCTTCAGAGAGATGTTGTTTTGGATTTTTTCTGCAACATTACTGGGAGCATAATGCACAGGCACTAGAGGGGAAGGGGAGGATGACGCGTCTGTGAGGGGGATGAGAGAATCTATTAGGAATCTAGTGGGCAAAACACAATTGTGGACTTGGGTTTACAATTTCGGACTTATTGATTACCGACAGTAGCCCAAGTTCTGTAAAAATCTGTTCCTTCTGGCCCATGTGTGCCAACGAGAACTGGGTTGTGTAAACTAAAACGCACAACAACATTATTGATGATTTGTGAAATGACCACAAAGTTCATCCGAAAATCACTCACACGACATCATTTTCAAAATGGAGAAAATTCAACACATATTTTTGTCTTTATATATTTTGTAGAAGAGTCAACCGGAAGTTAGGAAAGCTCCAAGTGACGTGGTCCGTACCCAAGCCAAGAGGGTTCCAGTGGATGGCGGAGATCAGGGGCGGAGCTAGGTAGGCCCTCGCACCCCCCACCCCCCGAGAATTTCAAAATTTATGTATAACGAGCTGGTCACAATCCTTTTTTGTGGCCTCGAGGATGATTATGCTGAGTTCTCTGCCGACATTCGAGCTCGTGAAAACCTGCTAATTGTTGGTTGTGCCATTGGGTAGCATCGTAACAGCCAGGAGTAATGGAATGTGAAAATTGTAAAGGACTTAAGAAATTAAATTTTTGCAGATGAATGAGAAGATCATTATTGCTCTTCTCGAATGGACAGAAAAATAGAGAAGTTGCCCTCTCTAATCTTTCCTTTCCAAATCAAATTCTTTTCATTTCCTTCTTCCTTCATGCAGTTCCCTCACCAACACACATGACAAAACAAAGCACACTCACATTTGTTCGCATCCACAATAACGTGTGTATTGTCAATCTCCCTTGTCTTCATGTGGTTTTGAAAAAGAAAAGTCTATATACAATTTATTAGGAAAAAAATTGAAATTGTTAGTTAAGCATTTCAATCTACAAATATTAGTTAAATGCTAAATTCTTGTTTGCAGTTTTTTCGCTAATATTGACTTGGTTATATGATACTGACTTGGAAGAAACACGCATTATGAAATTTTAGTTTTTTCACCAAGAAAATAGTTACAAAATTGCCAACGGCAATAGAGAAATGACTAATATTTTGATGCATTACAAAAGAATTGGGTAATATGTTGTCTTTCAAAAGGTTTGGTTAATAAATTGAAAATTTTGAAAGGTTTGACTAATACATTGTATTTCCCTTTAGAATACTTAATAACTATACATGATCTTAATCTCTTAACCTCAATTGTTTTTCTTCTCTTTTAATTTTTTTTAATTTACTATTTTTATTTTCTCACTTGGTGGCTGGTTTTGATTATCACACTTTACTTTCATTGGATTACAAAAATATAGCAAATCATATAACCTTAATTTCTAAAATATCGTAGTAAAAAATAATGACGATGTCCATTTTCTTCCTTTTAGAAGTTGAACTTCAATGACTTGTATATCAATTTTTACCTCAAAGCCTCAAAGGGGAGGAAGGGAGACGAAGCATTGCTATAGTGCTATGTGGCTGGCCAATAAAACCAACCAACACTACCAAAGAATTAAAGCCCAAATAACAGCCCAACCGAAGGCCATTACTCTTACTTAGAATCCGCCCAATAATGGATGTTGTTTAGGGATTAGTAGCCCATTAATTAGCCGGTTGTTAAGGAAATTTAGGCAACAGTAACTTCACTTCAGGTTTATATATATTAAACTATTCTCGAGCATCTTCGTATAAACCAAAGCAAAATATTAAATACATACGTATGCACTAGTGTAACATAAACTCACACCAGACCAGCGGATTGAGTGCTTGTTTATTTCCGTTAGGTTCGGGGTGCATTACGTGCTAGAGTCCATTTTTATTTTTAATCCATACTATTTTATAATGCAGGCTCTTTTAGTTTTAAGTTCATATTTGAAAGTTTCGTTTAGAACAATTTCATTGTTCTTTATTTATATTTTATTTTATCAAGTATTTTAATTTAATATTATATCAATTTAGGTTCTGAAACAATATTTATCTTTTAATTAAGAACATAGAATGGGGAACAACTACGGTGCTAATTGTACAATAGTTAGCACCGTCCTAACCAAGGGAAAAACTACTAATAGTTTGAATTAGTAGTGATTTAGCTTAGATGTTGTATTGATTTTATAATAATCCGTAGTGTTTTTTGCTAGTTATCACGGTGCTAACCCCTATAAGGGTTAGCACCTAATCCCATCCCCATAGAATGGGTTACATAATATAGAAATGCACTATTAATATGTTTTTTTATTTACTAATATATATTGAACATGACACGGTACTAGTGTAGATCTTATTTTGAATGAATATGAGATGTGTTATACAACATCGAAATGAAATTTAATTGTTTTGTTAATATATATTGAACCTGTCATGTTAGAAATTTGTAGTTTGAATATTATTTTGAGTTACTTTAATAGTCTAAAAAGTAAATTCATAATAATATAAAATATTTTACATTTTATTATTCTAATTAATTTTAACATTTTTTTTGGCAATTACAGCGTAAGTAATCCGGCCCCCCAACCAGCAAATCCTGGCGGAGACGGCGGAGGTCCGGAGGATAGCTTCAATATCCTCCACAATAGGGGTGGGCATTCGGTCGATTTGGTTCAAACCGAACCGAACAGAGGAGCACCGTTATTCGGAAATCAGTTGACTAACAATCGAATTCGAACCGAAATATATTCAGTTAGGTTGGGTTTTTTGCCGAGAACCGAAAATGTCGACTGATGGTGGTGGAGGTAGGCTTTAGTTGAACTTCGGAGTTGGAGCACAGGAGGTAGGTCTTGTCGTGACTGCCGCTGCTGGGATGGAGCACATGAGGTGCGGAGTTGCGGACGACGGATGCAGCTACTGGATGACAGGATGTGGTGGTGAGTGGTGACGCCGACAAGAGAGTCCATGAGTGGGAGACTGCGGCGAGTCGCGGTGGTAGTCTTGGACAGACGGAGGTGATGGTGGACGCGTCGCAGGTCGAACCGTCGCCGTCAGGGGGCGACGAGTCACGATGGCCGGTGTCTGGAAGAGATAGCCGATTGGGCGCTCGGGCTAGGCAGCTGACGACTTGTTCTACCCTTTTCGATTTCGGCTGCTACTGCTAGCTTAGGGTTTTTGGTAGAAAGAAGAAGCGAAGGCCGAAGAGAAAGAGATGGGAGGATTTGGGAATTGGGTCGAGTGTGAGTGGAAGTGGGTGTGGGCTAGCTATCGGAAGAATGGAGTTGGGCCTAAGAATTTCTTAATGTCAAGTTGGGTGGGCATTGGGCTAGTGGGGAGTGGGTTGAGAGAATTGTAAAATTGGGTTGGGCTTGAAACATATTGCTAGGGATGGCAACAAAACCCGAACCCATGGGTACCCTACCCGATCCAACCCAGTCAACGCGGGTGAAACTTGCTACACTGTTTACGGGTTGGGTTTGGGTTTAGGTATACTCACCCCATGGGTACCCGCCCACACCCATATAATTAATTTTTTCGGTATATTTAATATTCTAAGCAATATATCTTCATTAAACAACTCATCTTCTTTATGTTTGTGGAGACATGTCTAATTTGTTCTTCCTAATTGTGTAGAATGAAGTTGATATTATGGAATGGAGAGTGAAGAAGCTTAATTGACAAGTAGGAAGAAGGTTAATCATGTTATTTATAAATGTTTATCTTTAATTTTGAACAATTTTTATTGATAATTTGCGGTTTGCTTGTATGCTCTAGATTGGTGTTTTTTGTATGGATAATTTGTATGAGAACATTTATGTTAGACTTTTATTTTGAAAGAAACTTGTTATTGTAATTTTTTTTGTAAAATACACTTCCATAGCAATAACTTTCGCGTTTGTGACAATAACAACCACTTTTGAAGAAATATCATATATAACCACAATTTGGGATGATTCTATGCCTAATCTAGCCATTTGCGTCACAAACTTTAACGGTGTTAAAGATTCCGTTAGTTAGATTAACAATATGTTGACTAGGATGCCACCTCAACTACTCACCCTCACTTGCCACGTAGATGCCATGTCATAATTTTCTTTAAATATTTTTTTTTGCCTTTTAACATTTCATCTTCTAGCTTCTTCAAATTAATTTCGACCAAAATCGTGGCGCCTTCCATTAATCCGGCCAAACCCTCAAAGTTGACAAACAAAATGAAGAACAGAGAACACCATCTTTAATAAACTCAAAACAAAATTTCAAACCCAGAACCCAAACTCTTAAATCCAGAACCACAAATCACAAATCCAGACCTTTGAATCCGAAGCTTCCTAACCCTTGAAAAATCCCTATCAACGAAAACAACAATCATCCATCCATCTAAGCACCAAAATTTTTTTGGGCCCAGAAAGAAGAAGAGAAAATAACAAGGACGAGAAGCAGGGGAAGTTGTTTAGTGAGCTGCCTTGGTGCCGCGAAGGGAGTGAGTTGCTTTGATAGAAGCGTTTTCGGTGGAGAGCGAAGACAGCACGGTGGATGCCAATCTAGGCAAGCGGCTGCTCCTTGCTATTCCTGCCGGAAGCCATGGCTCTTGCTGCTTGATTGAAAGCCAGACATAGTAGAAGAAGAAGTACACACGACATAGCCATAATCAAAAGAGGACTCTCTTTAGCCTGCCTGCCTCAGAGCTCCCGTCCCTGTACTGTATGGATGGAGACTCAAATACAAGGCCGACAGAGTGTGAGTGCCTTCTCTGGTAACGGATTGATTGCTCTGTTTTTACAAAAAAATCCATAGGTACCCATGAACCCGCGGATACTATCACGACCTTACTCTCGATCGTGCAGCCCTAGCTCTCAATTCCCTTAGAGCGCTAGGCAACCTTCTCTCAAACTCACAAGCAAGCAAAGAACAAGGAAGCAAGACAAAGAAGTGGGAGAACTCTCTAGTGTGTATTACTCTAAAAAATGATGGAATAAGTTACAACTGAGGGAGATGGCTCCTTATATAGGCCTCTCCTCATACAAGGCATCAATGCCCCTCATAATGGTCCCTCTACATCAATACATCCATTAAGTCCCCCCCCCCCCCCCCCCCACAATGCACTCTAATAATCCCACCCATAATGTGACCCATAAGTGCACCATTAAGCTCTCTATTAAGGTGGAGAATCCTAGGAGCATCTCTATGCTACTAGTCTTCCATACACGCCACATGTGCAGCCGCCATGTTGTCACCTTGTTGACACCATGTCATCTGCCACATGTGACATCCTCCCCCACTTATGCTCGCGACGCCCTCGTCGCGTCCTCTTGATGGAAAGCCTCGATCAAGTCCTTGTTCTTCCAAAGCGTGAGCTCTTTCTCCCAAGTTGTTTCACTCTCCGGAAAGTTGCGCCACTTGACCAAGTATTCCACGAAGCTTGGAAGTACGCCACGACGAGGAATGACACGACGCGCCATGATCTCTTCGACTTCATGGTCGTGTGTCTTGGTGATGAGTGTTGGGCGTGATGCGACTCTCTTCGGTGCTCGTTATCCTTGTCTTCTTGGAAAGCCTTGAGTTGGCTCATGTGAAAGACCAGATTGATCTCTAAGTGCGATAGCACCTCCACCTTGTACACCACCTTGCCAATCCTCTTCACGATGGGGAATGGTCCTTCATAGTGGCGAAGCAGTCCCTTATGCAAGTTCTTGAGATGCTTGAAGCGGTGAGGGTAGAACTTCACCATCAGCATGTCTCCCTCTTCAAACTCCAAGTGCCACCTCTTCTTGTCCGCCCATTTTTTCATCTTCTTACTAGCGCTGGCTAAGTAATACTTGGTCATCTCCATTTTCTCGTGTCAGTCTTTAGCGAACTTGTATGATGCCGGAATGTTGCCTCTATACCCCGTTGCCACCGTCGTAGGTGTCAAAGGTTGCTGCCCCGTTGCCAACTCAAATGGACTCGTGTTGGTCAACTCGCTGCGGTGCAAGTTGTAGGAGAACTGTGCCGTATCCATCAACTTCACCCAATCTCGTTGGTTTGCACTCATGTAGTGCCGCAAGTACACCTCCAACAAGGCATTCACCCGCTTCGTCTGTCCATCGCTTTGAGTATGAAATGTTGTCAAGAAGTTCAAGTATGAGATCATGATCTTGAACAACTCTCTCCAAAATCGGCCCATGAAGCGCCCATCTCTGTCGCTCACGATGTTGCTAGGAATACCACAATACTTGACCACGTTCTTGAAGAATAGACGCGCTGCATCCTTTGTCGTCATGTCTTTTCGGCCAGGAATGAACACTCCATACTTTGAGAACCTGTCCACCACAACCATGATGCAACCACATCCGTCGAATTTGGGAAGTCCGATGATGAAGTTTATGCTTACACTCTCCCATGGTCGTTGAGGCGTGAGCAAGGGCTCTAGAATGCCTGTCGGGCTTCTCTGCTCCATCTTATCTTGCTGGCACTCAAGACAAGTCTTCACATGCATCTCCACGTCATCTATCATACGCGGCCAGAAGTATGCTTCTTCGATGAGAGCTTGCGTTCTCTCGATGCCGGGATGGCCCGCCCACTTGGAATCATGGCACTCCTTCATGATCTCCTTTCTCAAGTTGGCCCACCTTGGCACGAACACACGCTCCCCCTTGGTCAGGATGAGCCCATCGTTCATCCAAAACCGTCGATTTTTACCTTGCTCGATGTAATCCACTACGGTTTTGGGGAAGGGGTCATGGACAAGGCCTTCGACGATCAGCTCCTTCAAAGGAAACATGGGCTGGCTGATGCTTGCGGCTGCACTCTTGCGGCGAAGAGCATCTGCGACGGAATTTGCCTTGCCTGGATTGTACTCCATGACGAAGTCGAACTCGACCAAAAAGTCTTGCCATCTCGCTTGCTTAGGGGTGAGCTTCTTCTGCGTGAGAAAGTAGCTCGTTGCCACGTTGTCCATCTTCACTAAGAATTTTGGCCCCAACAAGTAAAGCATCCATGTGCGCAAGAATGCACCACGGTCGTCATCTCCTTATCCTGGACGGTGTATCTTGTCTTCCTTCTCGCTAAGCTTCCAACTCTAGAAGGCAATGGGATGCCCATCTTGCATCAACACACCACCAATTGCGAAGTCGGATGCATCGGTCTGCACTTCGTAGGCCAACGTCGGGTTGGGGAGCACAAGCGCAGGCTCCTTCATCACTGTTGCCTTCAAGGCCTCGAATGCTTCTTGGCACCGATCAGACCACTCCCACGCCTTGTTCTTCTTCAAGAGATCCATCAAGGGTGCTGCAATATTGGAGTAGCCCTTGATAAACCTCTGATAGTAGTTGGCAAGGCCGAAGAATGACCGCAACTTCGACACCTTTGTCGGTGACTCCCATTCTTGGATTGCCTGCACCTTCGCCCCATCCATCTTCAACTTGCCTCCACCAATGATATGTGCCACAAGAATGGAACCTCCATGGCGAAAAATGTGCACTTCTCCCTCTTGACATACAACTCGTTGTCGCGAAGGACTTGGAATACTTGGCGTAGATGCTCGGCATGCTCATCGAGTGTTATGCTATACACTATGAAGTCATCCAAGTAGACCACGACAAACCGGTCGAAGAATGGGTCGAAACTTGATTCATCAAAGTGCAAAACGTGGCTGGTGCATTGGTGAGATCGAATGGCATCATAAGAAACTCATAAGAGCCATACCTCGTCACACAAGCCGTCTTTGGCTCGTCTCCCTCTGCTATCAGCACTTGATGAACCACATCGCCTCTCCAAGCTGGTCGAAAAAGTCAGCAATGTTGGGAATCAGCCACCTGTTCTTCACCGTCAACTTGTTGATGGCTCTATAGTCGATGCACATGCGCAACGACCCTTCCTTCTTCTTTTGGAACAGCACCGGTGCTCCAAAAGGTGACTTCGATGGCCGCATGTAGCTTGCGTCCACCAAGTCCTTGAGCTACCTCTGCAACTCTTTTAACTCCGGTGGCGCCATGCGGTATGGTGCTCGCGAAGGGAGCTTCGCTCCTGGCTCCAACTCGATCTTGTGGTCCACCTCTCTTCTTGGTGGCAGCTTTTTGGGAAACTCTTATGGCATCACGTCATCAAACTCTTCGAGGACACTTCGATGATGGGAGTTGTGATTCCCATTGAGCCTCCTTCTTCCTCCATCTTCAAGGACACAAGAAAGGTTGGTTCATTCTTCTTGTACCCCTTCAATACCTGCATATAGGATATAGCACTATGGGGGCCATCTTCTCTCTAGAGATGGACCGCATGGAACTCCCCTTCCTTATCCAAGCAAATCGTGTTGGAGTTGGGCTTCAAGAGCACTCCCTCCTTGTCAAGGAAGTTGATGCCGAGGATGACTGGGTGATCGTCCATGGTGATGACGGAAAAGTTGATGAGGCCTTCCCACTCGCCAAGCTTCACTAGCACATTGTGATCAACTCCATGGATCGGGATGGACTCCGAGTTGATCGTCTTGAGCCTCCCTTGCCCCTTCTCATAAGCAATACCTAACCGGTCTGCATCATCGATGAGAAGGAAGTTGTCCGTGGCACCGGTATCCATCAAGGCTTTTGACTCACCTTGCATGAATTGTCACGGAACATGGCACCTCCCATGCTTGCTCCCCTTGACATCGGTCTTCACCGTGCTAAGCTTGCGGATTGAGCCAACCTTGGCCTTCGGTGCCTTGGGTTCTTCATCTTGAGCTTCCATGGCCGCCAATCTCGCCTTCCTTGGGAAATCTCACACTCGATGTGGTCCATCGCAAAGGAAACAAGATACAGGTTTTGGTTCGTACTTACCCCCTCTACTTGAACCACCTTGTTTTTGTGGAGTACGAGTGCCCTCCTTGAAAGGCTTCTGTTGTTCTCCATCCTTGTTGGGCTTTGAACTCTTCTTTTTCCCGCTGCTCTCTTGCCTTTTGTACTAAAAAAAAGACTCCGTCGTGGCCATGGCAGTTGCAAGGTCTTGCACTCCTCGACGTTGCATCTCCATCTTGGCCCATGGTTGCAGCCCATCAAGAAAGTCGTGCATGGCCTCCTTGTCCGTGATGTCCGGGATCTCTAGAAGCAGCTCTGAGAATTCTTTCACATATTCTCGAACTCCACCCCTCTGGGTGAGTCTTCTCAACTTCGAACAGGCTTCGAACTCCACGTTCTCCGGATAGAACTGCTTCTTGATTTCTCTCTTGAAATCTTCCCACGTTACCATCACACACGTACCTCTTTCGACGTCCGCTTCACGTCACCTCCACCACACCTTTGCAACATCGACCAAGTATAGTGGAGCGGTACGAAGTTTTAACTCATCCTCTTGGATGTCGGATGCCTTGAAATACTGCTCAAGACTCCAAAGGAAGTTCTCTAACTCCCTCGCATTCCTTGAACCTACGAAGTTCTTTGGTCTTGGAACATCAGCACGTGGGATGGATTGCACCGGGGCTTGTCCGCTAGCCATGGCTCTCTTCACTAGAGTGACCTCACTCTTGTGGTTTGCAATTTCCTCCTTCACGCCGACCAGCTCAGCCTGGACATGCTCTTTCACAACTTCAATGGCGTTGTTCATGGACTCGGAAATGGTGTTGGTGATGAGAGACACAAGCTCTTCTCGCAGCCCATCATGCCCGATCTCCAAGATCGACAAACGAGCATTCATCCCTCGAACATAGCTTTGGACTTGGGCGAAGTTAGCTCCCAAATCCTCAATAGCGGTGACATCTTCGGAAAGCTTCACCTCCATTCTCGAGACTCGCTTCTCTAGAGATTTGAGAGGATCACGAGTGCTCGGCGTACCTTTTGCCCTCTGGCCCGAAGTGGGATCTCTTCCACGTTGCTTCTCAGCCTCGGTAACGACGCTATCTACTCTTCCTTTTCGTCTGGCTATTGCTTCTACTTTGCTAGCACAAAGCCGAACGGGGCTCTGATACCACTTGTCACGACCTTACTCTCGATCGTGCGACCCTAGCTCTCAATTTCGTTAGAGCGCTAGGCAGCCTTCTCTCAAGCTCACAAGAAAGCAAAAAACAAGGAAGCAAGACAAAGAAGTGGGAGAACTCTCTAGTGTGTATTACTCTAAAAAATGATGGAATGAGTTACAAGTGAGGGAGATGGCTCCTTATATAGGCCTCTCCTCGTATAAGGCATCAATGCCCCTCATAATGGTCCCTCTACATCAATACACCCATTAATCCCCCCCCCCCCCCCATATTGCACTCTAATAATGACACCCATAATGTGACCCATAAGTGCACCATTAAGCTCTCTATTAAGGTGTAGAATCTTAGGAGCATCTCTATGCTACTAGTCTTCCATCCACACCACATGTGCAGCCGCCATGTTGTCACCTTGTTGGTGCCATGTCATCTGCCACATGTGACAATACCCACCAGATTGGGTTTGAGTTTTTCAAACCAAGCAGGTTTCACCCCGGATTTTTTTGGCGGATAAACTCTTGGGTTTGGACTTGGATTTGGCAAAACCCGCCACAACCTGACCTGTTGCCGTCCCTACATATCACATCTGCCATCTGGGTTGGAAAGTCGGAAATTCAATCTGAAATTCGATTTCTCGGTTCGGTTAAAATGAAGCTGGCTCCCGAAATATGACATATTTCAGTCCGAATTCCAAAACTAATAAGGTTTAATTCGGTTTTGGACGATTTTTGTTCTGTTCGGTTCGGTAAAACCGAACTGCATGCCCACCCCTATTTCACACTCCGCACCACCACAGAAGAATGTACTCTACCTGGCTACTACTATCTCATTTCCGGCTTCCACGTGAGTTGGATGCTCGCTTTTCTCATTTGAAACCTTCTTCCGATAAAAGCGGTCCGGGTTGATGAGTCAGGCCCGAGTTGGGATTTCTCAGCTACCGACGTCGCGGTGGAAAATATGATCTCCGGGGCCCCTTCCCTTCCTTTTCTTTCTTAAGATTTCTCTGTTTTCTCCTTAGCGTTTCCAAAATACATAAATTATAAAAAAAAATCCCAATCTACACATGTTTCACAATCACCGCCATTATCAAATGCAGTGAAAGACATCACCATTTTTGAAGAAAGCAGTGAACAAATCACCGCGTTTTGATGAAACGGTGAAAGCTTCACCGTGGCTGTGTTAAACGGTGAAAATGCACAAGATAAGTCTGAAGATGGTCGAATCCTTCCGTCGACAGCAACGCCACAGCTCTGCGACGTTCTGGAACAACAGAGCAGGAGAGAGGTTATATTGGGTGGAGCTCGGGAGAGAAATCCGACCCAATCCAAGGACACCAAGGCACTCCCTTACGCCTCAAAAAGCTCTCCTGTCTATCAAATGGAAACGAATCCTTCTGTTTTGCAAGAACGAAATCGAGTTTCAATGCCTCTGCAAATGCATGAACAAGAAGAACAATTGGCTGAATGGGTTGGGGAGAATGGGCGCAATCCGACGCAAACGGCCGCTGTAGAATCGTTCTTCGAGGTCCAAGGAACGTGTCGGAACAGCCAATTCATCCATTCGAATCCTGAACAAGAATCGCCCAATTCAGAACTGCAATTTCTGGGCTTCGAAAATTTAAATACGGCCGACGGCGGGAAAGGAAAAGGAGAAGATTCGACGAAGTTGGTGATGAATCGCGACTAGGAACATGCCCAGAATTACAATTGGAGGCTTGGCGAATCTCGTGGAGTAATCGAATTGGATTGGGGATGCCTCAATTCCAAACCCCCAATTGTGATGAAGAACTTGTGCCAAACTGCAGTCCCACGACCTAAAGAAAGCTCCGATCGTTTTCCGGCAAAATTGGTCGTCAATGAGGGTTTTTTGAAAGTCCAGGGAGAGTGCCCAACTGATCTTCAAGTTTCAAAGTCCCTAGACGAGAGTGGAGATGCATTTGCAGGTGTCAATTTTCTGCAGGGAAAAACGATCGAGCAGCCCTCTTTCGATCCAATTTGGGATCAATTCTGTGTACGGTTTGGGCAAAGAAAGGCCAAAGTGTTGAGGGCAACACTTTTTCAAGAGGGAGGGCCTGATATGATCCCAAATTTCCCACAATTCACGTCACAATTACTTGACAAAGAAGCTATCAAAGTTGGGAAGAAGAAAGGCAGAATTTGGCTAAGTCAAAATCCGTGTTCAGGATACATACTTTGGAGACATGGTTCTCTCAATTGGCTTTGTGGAAATTTAATGTTAAGAGTTTGTATTGCATATAAAGATTCCATCTTTCCAATGGTATGCTTTGTGGATCCAGATGATGTCATTAAGGTTGTTTTCCAAGGCCTCAAAATTGCTACCTCAAAACTGGAAAACTGCCAGAATTTGGTTTAAGGCAGAAACTGTGTTCAAGAAGCCTACTTTGGAGCTCCATTCCAGAAGCACGGATGAGATTCGAGTCCAGAAGCTTATACAACATGAGAGTAGGTATGTTCTACTACAAATACATGGCATTGGATGATTGGAAGCTTACCTGGAAGGCTGTGATCGAGAGGCTCAAAGATGGCATCAAAGCTGTTTGGTTACTTGGAGCTAAAGGCAGATTTCTTTTTCTTGTTTAGTTAGGATTTCACTGTTTTGGTAGTTTTTTTATTCCTTTTCGTATTAGACTGTAATTAGGAGTTTATGGGACGTGTGTAACCCTAGCTAGGCCTATTTAAGCTTTCTATTTCGTTGTAAAACTAAGACTTTGTTGAATAGAAAAGAAACCGTTTGGTTTGTGCAAGTTGCGACTTGTTTTGGGTTTGGTGGATTCCAAACTTGCTAAACTTGTGTATCGATTGAATAGTCACTTCAATCATGGTCGAGCAACTACCCTCTTATACCAATCGAGCTATCCCCAGGTGTGGATTTGTCCTTTTGGTTCCGCTTTATCCAAGTTCGTATTAAGAACGCTTCGTTCTTGATTCGAGCTCAATCGATTCTTCGATTGAGTCGTTAGCTGCGTGACTTTGATAAACATACACCCCCCAGGGGCGTATTAAGTGGTATCAGAGCCCCGTTCAAGTCAGGGCGAGAAAGGAGGTTGTGTTTCGCGCGATTCTGCAGCCGCAAAAACAAAGAAAAAGAAAAAAAAACAGAAACGATGGCGGCAGAGGAGCTAGCAGAATCGATGTTCTTCACTCGTTGTTTAATCCAGGATCAGCTGGGTTTGGTTCTCGTTGATGGAGGCAGGGAGAGGAATTTGATTTCCTTAAGGGTCGTGAGCAAGCTAGGGCTGCAAACACAGCTGCATCCGAAACCATACGTGTTCCAATCACCGTATGAAAACAAATTCAACATTGTAGTGTCTCAGGTGGCCGTGACATTCTCGATTGGCCAATACGAGGATCAAGTGCTTTGTGATGTAATCTATAATCTTCCCAGCAGCCTCGTGTTGGGACAGCCATGGTTCAGAGATCGTGAAGTTCGGTTGGCAAGTCAACGAAGCAAGAAATTCAGATTGCGAAGTCGAAATAAGGTGTTCGTTTTGAGTCCCTTGGCGCCAGAAGCAGCTGCTGAAGATATGAGGGTGCTGAAACAACTCCAGGAAGAGTATCAGTTGGACTTGGTGTCGAAGGCGTCGTCGAAGGGAAGCAGCTCAGTCCCGACTCTGTTCGGAGCTGGCGACCTCTGTCTTTCGCCTGAAAAACAGAGTCCCAACGTCAGCGCCCCTGTCGACGATGAGGAAAGGAAGT